AAAAAAAAAAAAAAAAAAAAAGAAGAAGAAGAAGAAGAAGAAGTACAAATGACCAATAAATATATTAAAAAATGTCCAACATCACTGGCCATTAGAGAGGTTAACTTGATTATTTTTTTATTTCTTTCTGTATTGATCTAGTTCTATCTCAGAAATAATAATTTACAGTCTACTCCCTCAGTGTCAATGAGTTGGTTGTTTCTAAAAGCAGTTCTTAGACTTTAAGTTTTGGACAACGGCCATATGAAGACATGTTTAGATTTCATCTGTTTCCCTCCCTTGATCTGCAGAGGAGTAACCATGTTCCAAGACCACCATAGGCACTTGGGTTTTTTGTTTGTTTGTTTGTTTGTTTGTTTGTTTGTTCTGGGGATCGAACTCAGGTCCTTGTGCTTGCAAGGCAGGCAGCAACACGACTGAACTAACTCCCCATCCTCCACCATAGGCATTTGCATTGTTGCCCCCTTTCCGACTAAAGAAACAGCAAACTAAATTAATGCCTCTTGAAGTTCTTAAAGGAACTCTTGAAGGAAATTTGTACTAACTTTTTAATAAAGAGATACATCCATATCATACCTCTTATTCCTTCATTTAAATCCCTGTAATTGTGGAAGATTATTTATAACCTGTTATGGGAACATTGGCATGGTGCTGGGGAAGAAAAATGACAAGGGACGAATAGGGAGGACAGTAACTATTTGTTGAATTAAATAAGAAATAACAGTGGAGGTACAGTAAAGGATGACATTGGGGAAGAGGATCTATAATTTTGTTCTTCTTCATAACTAAAGAAGCTAAATTCACATTATGAAAAGCAACATAGAACTCTAAGTTCTGATGTGAAAAGAGCTCCAGGATCTATAAGGCACAAAAATACGTACTGGTATCCTACTCCTGTCTGTGGATGGATGGAGAATTTTAGAACATACATTCATTCGTATTGCCAATATTTGCATAGAGAAATAAAGGAGCACAAAAACTGGTAGGCAAAAAAGAATGGGAACAGAGAGGAGAAAGACTTATGTATTGTACATCTGTCTCTGACATCTTCATATTTTGAACTATGTCATGAATTACCTATATGTTTCAATTTTATAAAACAGAGTGTATTGATAAATGTAGAACAGCCATCACATTCAGCACTTATTTTGGTGAAAACTTTTGGGTAAGTATTGGAGAACTTAAACAGTGTACTCTGCAAATTACTGTTTATTCTACTCTTTTTCCCCTGTATCAAAAGAGATCAAATTTTAAGACAAGCAAACAGCATTAAAGGTGTAATTAAGTGCAAGATTGCTGTTTTGTGTTTCTTTTTTTTTAATACGAAGCTGTTCGGTGGAGGAGCCTGTGCCTGAGCGTACCTCCTCATTAATCCTCACCACAGGCTTGTGAATCAACTAAAAAGCCAGCAAATTATTCTTGTCACCAGCAGAGAAGCCCAGCCAGAGGAGTGATGAGGGCAGCGAAGGACAAACTGTACCTCCTTCCCATCATTCTCAGGCCCGCATGCTCAGTCACAAAACCTTCTCCCCAACTGGGCTTCCTCCTCAATTCACACTTCTGTGATTTAAAAAATTAAATAGGAGTCACGGGCATCACTTTGCTCCCTTGTCCTTCACAAATGCTGTTGCCCGCTGTCTGATACCTTTGGTTCCTCGATGGAAGTGCTCTTGAAATGCAAAGATACATTTTTCTCGAGTTCAAAAAGGTACTGACTTAATAAATTAATATTACCATTATTCATCGAGGAATTAAAATATATCACTATGGGAACAGAGAAAGGAGGTGTGGTACAGTCGTGAGCGGGTGGCAGGAGGAAGGCTGGGGGTGGGCAGGAAACTGATGGTTTTAACTGTCGGGTGCACTCCCATGGTCACAAGGTGCCTTAAAAGTGTAATTTCTCTCTAATACTCTAACGGCTTTTCTACTTGAGATGGAAGATAGTAAGAGTAAGGCGGAAGGAATCAAATGAGTAGGGACAGGACTTGTTAACTACTCTTTGATGCCTTGGGCACATGAAAATATAGCCAGCTAAATTTGTCTTTTTTCCATTCACATGTCCATGATGTTACATCAGAGCCTTCTCTGTGGACGTCAGAAAACAAGTACTACCTTTTGTATCACATCCAATTTACTAAATGTTTTGTAGTGATCCTTTCTTCGGTCCAAACTCCTTGTCACGCAATCCAAATGCCTTATCAGGCATACCAAAAATATGTCTAATTTTAGTACCTTGTTTAGTAACAGTCGTTTAGTAACAATTGAAGAAAATTCCAAGTGTAATTTAGCTTTTCCTTTCTAATTTCTACTCATTGAGATTGCACATACTTGTTTATGTACCAGCTTTCACAAGCTTCTCGTCTTAAATCCTCCTAAAGAAAAGTAACCCAAATGGAATTATTCCTCTTTATTAGGATTATATCCCCTATAAATCACTCCTCACATAGGTATGGCAAAAGATGCAACAGACAGTTCAGGACTAGCTCTCCATAAACTAGGTAATTTCCTCTCCTGTAGTTAAAACAGCGCAATCAAACTGATACTCATCCGGATTAATCTCTTGCCTTTAAAGTAAGGAGTCCTAGAGAATCAGTTGCCCTCAAACGAGTCATTTGAATTTAAAGCTAATAATACTAAATACAAGTTTTATTTATACCATGTACGAACATTGTCATTTTAACAAAATTATCTCCCCACTCCTAGACCCTTATGTCAAAGTCTCTCTGATGTGTGAGGGTAGAAGACTAAAGAAAAGGAAAACAACTATAAAGAAGAATACTCTAAACCCTGTCTACAATGAGGCCATTATTTTCGACATCCCCCCGGAGAATGTGGATCAGGTCAGCCTGTCCATCGCGGTCATGGACTACGACAGGTGAGGGCCCCTCTACCTCTGGAGGAGCAGCCAAGTTTAGATGTGTGCAGGTTACAGTCAGCTTCTCTAGCTCCTTGTTGCTCCAACCACTTAAGTTTATATTGGAGCAGGGGATAAGACTTCATAGTCCATTGTTTTGTTATAGTTTGGGGATTTTTTAAAAATCTTTTTCGTCTAATCTTTTACCTGGGGCAGGCATGAGACCCGGTCCAGAGTGGTATGGAATCCACTATAGAAAACGCCACCCAAAGGGCTTTTCACAGCAATAACAGATCACAGTCACAGGTTGTCCCGGGTAGGCTGAGACATGCTGGTCTTGTTGTTTGCCAGGCTGAACAGTTTAGCCACGGGAAAGGGCTATCCATCATCCCTGGGACTCATTTTTCCCATTTGTGAAACAGCAGCATAATGCAGAGCCACAATAGGGTCCTGGCAATTGAGCAATGTTTATGAAGAATGGAAAGTGAAGAGAGTCTGTGGGGGAACAGCTGTGACGCGCTCACATCAGTCTTAAAACATTCTCTGATGATGCTTTCCAGCTCACACGCTTTGACTTACTTTCCTTTTCATAAAATAAACCACAGACTCCTCAGTGGTCCTTGTCCTGCAGCTCTGGCCCCTGCCCTCCTCTTTTCCTTATCTGCAGCAACCCTCAGTCTGCTCCTCACCCCACCCTGCTCACCACCCAGCCCAGACAGCACCCTGCACTTCTCGGCTTTCAGCCTTTCTGCCTCTGACCTTCAGTCCCACTGAGCTTCCCATCTCTTATTCAGCCCATACTTTTGTACTTAAAACTTTTCAGAAAGGAATACTGTATCTTTCAAATACCAAGTTCTCAGCGCAAATACAGGGCCTCATTTTTTTTCTCTTAAGGATGAAAATACTACAGTACATATACAGTGCATATACAGTACATACTGGGTTGCTCCCTTAAGTCATGGTAGTAACCAGGACCCTATAGCCCAGGGAGACTCTCGGGCCACGCTCTGCTCAGAGCAAGCAGGGGACAGAAAATATAATTTTCATATTGACTTACACTATCTGTTTAAGCCAGTATCAAAGAAAAACTATTTTGCAATGATGGAGAAAACAATTTCAAATTCATTTCCATTTCAAACTCAAAATGTTCTAAATATTTTCATCAGCAATCCTACCTTGCTTTATCAGTTACATTTATTGATGTTTCACAGCAATATGTACAGGTAGATACGATCGAGCGTTTGTCACCCAAGCAATGTTGAGAAGAGGAATCCTAATAAAATATAAAATAGGCTGATTAAAAAAAAAATCACTCCTAAAATATGCTTGTCTTGGAAATTTCATATTGAGAGAAATTATACTAAGTACAAAACTGCATTAGTGATAAGAAAGCAATAAAGAAAGCTTCTAAAATTATGCCAAAAGTCTCTACAGCGAAGTCTGTCAAATAACTGTCGTGATTCCTTTACATTGCATTCTGTTCCCGAGAAGCCAAGTATGGCACCCATCCTTGAGTCTGTTGCCTAAACTCAACTCCTGCCTCTGCCTCTTACCAGGTTACACAGCCAGGTCCTGGCCTGACTCTGTTGGTTTCAGATGTGCTCAAATTGCGAAATGTTTAGCTTATTTGCCTATTGAGATAACAGCGGTGCTCGTCTCATGGTCATGGCAGCCGGTACATTTAAACCACTCAGACACTGTGGCACATAATAAACTCTCAAATGTATTAGCTATTGGTGTTTTTTACTTGTTTCTATGAAAGCAGAACATGAACAGAAAAGAGGAATGTGGTCCTGTATAGTTCTGTTTTGCAGTACAGCAAATGCATGGGACGGAGCATAACTCTGTGCTGTTTAACCATAGTACCAGCAGTTACATACACTGATGTATCATTTAGAACCAACTGTGTGCTCTTCTGTGCAAGAAAGTGGGAACTGTGCTCTCTATATGAACCCTAAACACTGTCATAAAACATTAGGCCATGTAGAAAGGACAGGGTTCGATTGACAATGCATATATGTATAATGGGCCTGCTTCCAAAGGGGAAAAGAATCCTGTAGGAAAGGATTTAGGAGTTATTTCACATGTATGCTATTTGTATTATTGTGGAATGTGCTCAGGTTGCAGAGTACCAAAACAGTTTGTGTGCTTCTTCTACAAATTCACTTTGGACTGCTGATGCTCCTTAGTAATATTTATTAAGATCTTTCATTTGATCAGAAACCCTGTGTGTCCTATGGTTGTTTTCTATACATACCTGCCTATAATAAAATTTAATTTATAAATAAGCACAGTAAGAGATTAACAACTAATAATACCATTTGAAAATTTACAACAGCATACTGCACTAAAAGTTATTTGAACCTTATTAATTACTTCTGGAATTTTCGCTTCATATTTCTGAATCTTGATTGACATTGAGTTTCTAAAGCCGCAGAGAGTGGAATCACAAATGCTGGGCCGGGACTCTGTAATGTACAGAATCAAAACAGCTAGTGTTTAATGATGTGCTCGAAATTCTAATATATGTGAGGTCCCATCTATTTTAAACATTGGACATGAAAGCATAATATTCTCCCAATTCTAGGGTGGGACACAATGAGGTCATAGGAGTGTGCAGAACAGGTCTGGACGCTGAGGGCCTTGGGCGCGACCACTGGAATGAGATGCTGGCCTACCACCGGAAGCCCATCACACACTGGCACCCCCTGCTGGAGGTGAGCTTTCCATGCCCACACCTCCACCCTGCCTCCACATCCATGCCTGCCACCTCAGTTGCTTAAATGTTACTTATCTGCTCATCTTTATGTGATATTTTATGCATTCACCTGTTTAAAAAATTGTTCCTGCTTTTGTCTCACAGTGTCTTACACTAGGCCAAGTTTTGTATACATCATGAGTTTTTAGAACCACTGTACATTCTGGGCTTCATCTTTGTTTCTTTGTTTCTTCCTTCCTTCCTTCCTTCCCTTCTTTTATTTCTTCCTTTTATTGCATGTGTGGTACTGAGGATTGAACCCACACAGGTAAATAGCTCCAGGCTACATCTCCAGCCCTTTTTAAATTTTATTGTGAGATACATTTTCACTAAATTGTCCAGGCTGGTCCCAAACTTGCAATCCTGCTGCCTCAGACTCCAGAATATCTATAGTTACTAAGTGTGTCACCACACCCAGCTTGGTCTTCAGATTTTTTTGACAGTTAGCCATAAACACTGGGGTAGATCGTTCTCCTCACATGACTTGAAAACTTATACTACTGAGTAATGGAGGAGACTAGTAACCTAGGAACCTAGTTTATTGCTAATTGGAAACTAAATTTTAGTGCTTTTATTTTTTGTGAAGACAGACACCTTACCTAAAGTCTCTTCCACTTAAGAATCCTTAGAGAGACATACTATCACCTAACACTGCCCTTTTTTGCCCTGCTCTGACTCCAGCCAGGGAGAGCCAGCGCATTTTAGGCACACTGAGAGATAAACTTACCTGATTTCAAGACCTGCATCTGCTGTGTGACTATTGTGGAATCTTGCTGAAGTTACTCTACCGCTCTCAGTGTCTGTAGTGATGCTGTAATAGTAAATTCAAAGTAAAGCTGAATAAATGCTGAGCACTAAGTGCCTAGTACATGGAATGGTACAATGTTAGCCCTTACAATTATTGTTAATATTCGCCTAGCCAGAGCAAGTAGCAGTACCAATTTTCCATGAGGATATTTAGTCCTGAAGTTAGTTGTCAGTGTACAGGGAAAAATGAATGTCATCAGGTTGAATGATTTTCCTTCCTAAAGACACTATCAGGAGCCTCCTGAAGAGTCACAATGTAAGTAATTTATATGATGGGGTGAATTGAGAGGTAATGCAGGTGCACAGAAGGACAAGTAGCAGATGAAGGATTTTATGTATTTCAGTAACAAAAACATAGTATAGTAGATGAGTGGCATTTCTGCCATCTCCCCATGGGTAAGATCCTGCTTCTTCTTTTAGCACTAGGCACTGGATTGAAGAAAGGGAGAGAGTGCACATTATATTTAACCAAGTATCAGTAGGACCAAGTTCTAATTTCAACTTAGTCACTAGAACATGACCTTGGCTGTGTTACTAAAGACAATATAGAGAAAATCTGATGAGTACTGAATGTCCGGACCTGTGAACTGTCTTCACTGGCATCTCTTCATATATGAATGTCCCGAGTTTTTATCTGACTTCATAATTTAATGTAAGGAGGGAGGGAGAGAGAGACCCAGTCGCATGGACTTTTCCTCTAGAGTGCTCTGTAAGTAGAGTCAGGCATACTCTCTGAAGAGCTCAGTAAGTCTTGAAAAAGTTCATTTCACGTCAACAGTGGCTATTGTGTAAAATATTATCTACTGCTTGTCATATAATTACTATCTTTCCCAGTTCTTCTCATCTTTATTTGCTTCTTACATTAGAAACGTGAAAATAATCCTAAGGTTTGAGACAGGAAAGTGAAATCTTGGTCGGACAGCAGCCTTCACTGAACGCAACCCCTGTCCCTCTGCTGTATCCTCTTGGACAGGTCACTGTCCCTGCAGCCTGCATGGGAGGATGAAGGGAGAAATGAGATCATATGAGCAGGAATTGTAATGGATGTGGGGAAAGGTGCTGTAGAACCTGAGGCATATTAATTTTTGATAACTACTTAATAAGCAGTTATACATTTGTCTGATGAACAGGAGCTATGGAATTCACGTGTGTTTGTGTCAGAGAACACCAGGAGAACACTTTTCAGTCCAAATAGGATGCTCAGGGAGGTAAGTAAGCTACAATATGGGCATCACAAAAAGATGGGAGATATTTTTCTCTTAAGTGAGTATCAGAGAACTAGTAGGACTGAAAGTCTACGTAAATATACTTCCTGCAGAAAATGGCTCCTTTCTTTCCATCCCTACTGCCGCATTCATTGGTCAAATGCACTGTATGGACTAGAGACGTAAGAACTGCCTGCATTTCTCACTAAGGGGAAAGTTGAGTAAGTCATCGTGTCAGAGAAGGGATAAATTTGAGAGAAGAACGATTATTCAGGAGCTGGGTAACTTAAAGAGGCAGATTTAACTATCCTTTAGAAGATCTGGTTAATACTATCTAGATAATCCAAAGTTTATTCTAAGGATTAAACTTTTTAAATACACACAAACACTTAAGGATCATGAGGAATTGGTCATCCTCATTTAGGGCTCCCACCTCCCTAAACTCAGTCCTTCTCCTCTCATTCATTCTCCTTGAAATCGCCTCGAGAGCCCGGGACCACGGTGGCCAACATCTGTAATCCCAGCTCCTAGGAAGGTGCCAACAGGAAGATCACACAAGTGTGTGATACCAGACTGAACTACTTAGTGAGACTGTCTCAAAAATAGAAACTAGAAGACTGCCGGGGTATACCTCAGCAGTGCCTGGATTCAATCCCCAGTGTTTTGAGCAGGGATGGCCTCCTGCCTTGTAGCAGATGGAGTGCAATGTGTGTGTAAAACCTCTTGTTGCTCTTACCCAGCAGCTGTCTTCAATACAGTAAGCCATTGTTTTATCAAAAGCATTAAAACTCTGTCATGCAGTATGAAATTATTCTGTTGTCATACGTATTTGCCGTAGAGTGCCTCTGTGTGCCATATGTGTACCATGCTCTGTGTACCCCTCTGACTATTTGTGTGCCCTCAGCCTACCTGAAGAGGTAGGGAGTTACATGTATCTTCTCTTCAGACTGCTATATGGTAGGTGAATATTCACTATTACAAGGGAGCAAGAATTATCTACTGGGCTATTTTATGCACGAGATAATACATTATAAAACTTACTGTCTTTCAGTTACCTGGCCGGGCGACCAGTTTTGATAGTCAAGGATCCTGTTCATCTCCGAAACCACCTTCCACGCCATAATGCCTCCCATGTAAGACCCTGTAATAAGCACCTAGGTCCATGTGCTCCTTGGATCAGGAACACAAAAGAAAAGCAGAAGGTTTGATTTCCTCACGTAAAATATATTCGTAGAAATGAACAAATTTACATGCAATTTTTTCATTTACCTTTGTGTCTGTTTTTAAACTTTGAACATCTTAATACTGTTTACTTGAATATGAATATTCCTTAGTTACATAAGGCATTTTATCCTTCATGTCATATGCCTATTAGCACAAAGAGAGTTGGGAAATGTACTTCTTTGCATCAGCAAAGAAACAAGTTTTTTTGAAAAAAAAAAGGAATCAATACACATTTAAAATTAAATATAGCTTATGCTGCTATTGTATAAAGTAGAGTATCACATGTGTGGTTTTGCTTTTGTTACAACTTGTTCGTTTTCAGTTGTACACACTGTTCTATATAAACTTTAATGAACATTTTAACCTTTACATATGAAGCACTAAGTCCTTCAACGTTCACATTAATGTAGCTTATCTGATGATAGTTTTACTTTCATTCTCAGCATATTCTTTTCTTGGTGAGACTTGACTCTGCCAAACTCAAAACTCTGTCTCTCAACCTGTTCTTTAAAAAATACAGATAAGTCTGTAAATTTAAAGAATCATATTGAGTAAAAATTCAAGTAATAGTGAGAAGCTGGAAAGTGGAGGTTGAACTCTTCCAGCAACCATTTAATATTGTCTCTCACATTCGCTCAGACATCTGTTGCATTGTTAACTGATATTTTAAAAACTCTGATAATCTTATGTGCAGTATTGATGTTCCCAAGTGAATAGAGTCAGAAGTTCATTCGTTAAGTGTTTATAAAGTACTCAAGTTTTGTGGCGTCTATTTTGTGATGTGAAGCTATCACACAGATCCTGGATTTCTGACAAATCACACTGACAGACACCAAAGGTCCCACCAAATAGTCTGTGCTCCTTGTGACTTAGTAATATGCACCATCAGTGACTCAGAACCATTCAGAAACTTATCACTGGAATTGAAGATTTTCCTAAAAAAAGTGTGATTTATTTTCCAACGAACTATAGAAATGTACCATAAATAGCTTCCACAAAATTTAATACAAATAAACAAATTAGTTTTCAAGGCCAGACCTCCAATTCTTTCATGAAAGGCATTTTCCTTCACAAGGGTGGAGGATCAGGCTATTAGATGTAAAAACTATGCAAATGTTTTTACAATACAGACTTTCTTTAAATCAGGTCAACTTTTTAATGTCTCATTTTCAGGTATTGTTGGAAGATATCTGTATTGAATTTGCCCAAGCTTACTTTAGAGATCTGCATCATAGATGGTGCGTTGTTCAACCTTATTCCAAAATAATAATTTCAGAAAAAGCAAGAAAATTTGTACTTGAAATATGAAAACAAATTCATCAGAATGAGAACATTTTCAATTATGAAAATTTTATATATTCCTTATCCCTATAAAAAATGAAACCTTAAAAGCCTTGAAATTTTGTCTTCTGGCGTGATGATGGAATTACTGTTAATTAAGATGTAAATATTCTACTCATTAACATTTAAAGGTAAACATAGTGTTGCCTCACATTTTTCAAAAAAGCTTGTACTATCCTAATGGAAACAACTCTTCATAGCTAACAGTTTCTCCCTTTAAATAATAGGAGAGACCTGCTTGAAAATAGTTGGCTACCTTAGCAAGCTTAAAGAACCATTTGCTATAAGGGTGAAATGACTGAAGAAGACAACTGATTTTTTTTTAACTCTTTTTTTTTTTTTTTTTTTTTTTTTTTTGGTACTGGTCCTTGTGCTTGAGAGGGAGGCGGCAGAACCACTGAGCCAAACCCCCGGCCCCTTTAACTCTTTATTTTAATGCGAGAAAAAATGTCAAACAAAGACAAAACTCTTGGACATTTTTTGGACACAGTGGTTTTATTAGTAGATACAGCTATATCCTAAAGTAAATTAGCAAATTTATTTCCTAAGTGAGTATAATATACATTTTCACCCAAAAACAAACTTTAAGGATTTCTTATTCATCCTCAAAAATTTGTGCTTGTCTTTGTTTACTAAGGTGAAAAGCCAATGTTTGTGAGGGAAAAAAGATGACTTGAATGTGAGGATTACAGATTAATGTTTTTAAAATAATTTTTGAAACTTGAAAACTTTTTCTCCAGGATTAGAAGAAACTCATAATGTCAGAGTATTTGTTAATCCTGCAAAAGAGATTAAAGAGAGGAAATTCCTAACTCATATTTCATGTACTACATGAGGGCCGTTTCCCCCAGATAAGTCAAGTGTGACCATTAAAAAGGACAGCTGATATGATGAAAATGCAGTCCTGCCTCTTCTAACACCACATACTCTCCTTCTACACATCCACACACATGTAGGTTGTCTTTCTGCCTGTGAGTGATGATGAAATGTTTTCAGTGTTTCAAATAAGGTTTGATGTTAGAAGTGTCCTCCACCAATTTGTGTGGGATATCACGTTTCAGTGACAGTATTGACACATTAGGAAGTTGTAGTTTAGGTACGTAATAAATACCTAATTTCAGGGACTTATTCAGGGACTTAAATGAGATAAGCCTATGTAAAAGATCAAGTGTTGACTCATTAGTGTAACAACACTGACCTTCATTCAATTTTGGGGTTTTGATGTTGATCTTACCTTTATATAATCTTTATACAAAACTGAACAGTTGTTCTTTTTCTCACTAGTTTCCTAATAATATTTTTCTTGACAGCTCACTTTATTGTACATGTAAAATTCACCATATTAATATATTTATTGCCCAATGGCAAATAGCATTAGGGATAGTGCCAGGGGCAGAGTGTTGTGGGTCAGAGCCACACATTTTCTGGAACAGTTGCGGGGACTTTGCACGTTCTGGTTACTGCAGGGAAATCACAGCTGATCAATACTGACTCAGGTTCTATATTAAAGCAAATACATTTCAACCTTTTTGGTTGTGATATTTAATTGACCCTTAACAACTATACTTTTTCTCGTATAAGGTTTCCCTCATTTTAAAATTTTGCACTTAATAGAGAGCTGTTAGTTTCATAAAGCTTATCATTTAACTATTACTTGGAAAACAAAAAAGTCAAACTTCCACTCCTGTCTCAAACTTCCTATCCACAAGGCCAAATTTGGCCCATTTTAGAATGAGTTACAAGGATAACCAAACACAGTTACAAATAAAGGGATACAAGATCTTAACAGTAAACACGTGGCAATTTACCCTTGCAAAAAGACTACTTGATGTTATTTAAGAATATCTGTGTTCATGAGATGGAGTTGATCTGGTTTTTGTATTTTGGTTTGTTTTTTGTTGCAATGTTCCTGGTAATTACAACCAGGTAATATGATTACCTGATAATTAAAAAAGAAAAAAACTGGGGTTGATAAGGACTTAAGAAAGCCTTTAGCCTCTATAAATCTAAAGAAAAGGTGGAGATCTCTGTCTTTCACAATTTGGTCTTAAAGCAACTTCTGGGATACTTTAGTTGTTCTTAACCTTTATAATTTTTAGGCTGAAATTCTATTGTCACCAAAGGATACAAAGGAGCTGAAAGTAATGCAACTTAAAGCATTAACATAGCTGGTAGTTAGGCAAAGATTTTATAGCATATGAAAATAAAGATACTGAGATTCAAAACCAAGAAGTTGTTTTGTATTTTAACTTTTAATGTACAGTACATCCTCTAACATTGTTCTGAAAAACTCCATGACACAGCATTTAATAGTTCCTCAGTGACAAGGCTCAGGATATTGTTCATCTGAATCTGCTTTAAGGACTTATTATTCACAAGAAAATGAATTTGTACCGTACATGGGAATCAAAGTTAATTAAACAAAATGTTGTTTCCAGCATGTTATTCAGTGATAGCCTTTTAGGTAAGAATTTTGTTTCATTAAAAGACTTCTGTGTTTCCTAAATGTTCTGTTAGAGTATGTAGTAATTTAATTAAAGATATGTTGGTAATTACTTGTTATCTGCCATTAACATTTAAACAAAAAAGATGTGTATTTGAACAGTGGCACTGGATATTTTGTTCAAGTGTATTCTCAACAAAGTAAAAAAATTATTTTCATTTTTACCATGTTCCTTGTGGAAATAAGACACAGAGGTTTGATTTGGTAGCATGACAACATCATGCTGTGGAGACTTGGAAAAGAAAGCACTGAATCAAAGGCTGAGGTGCAAACATTTTGAATACTAGAAACAGTGACTGAAAAAATAAACCAAACATATTTAAAAGAAAGGATGGGCTTATTTACACCCGAGATGATGCAAATATACTCTTGTCAGGAGGAAATAATTTAATTCTATTTTTACCCCTTCTGAGACACTAGAAGGGGCTTAATATGATAGATATATTTACATGGAAATATTTTAATCACAAATCTCTAATAAATCCCTCTGAAATCTCATCTGAACTTTTGAGAACCCTCCTTAAAGAGACAAACTGCCTGATCTTGGCACCAGAGAGTAAAACTGAGCTGTTTTATTCAGAAGTTTTGTTGTGAAGCATCTGCTGTGCAAGGAACACCCTATGAACTGTTCAGGGTGGCAAATTTTAATCATTCAATTTCATCATTTTTGTTCCCTTAAAAGCAATTGATTGGTGGGCCATGCCTGTAATCTCAGCTACTCAGAAGGCTACAGCAAGAGGATTTGAGTTTGAAGCCCACCTGGACACTTAGCAATATTCTGTGTCAAAATAAAAACTAAAAAAGGCTGGGAGTTGCTCAGTGGGAGAATGCCCCTGAGTGTGATCCACAGTACCACAAATAAGATTTGTTGAATATCAGTGCGTATTATAGATGTGAGTCAATAATTCTCATAGAAGTAAGGTTCAATGTTGGAAGCTTATTGGATATTTATGTCATTTCCTCTACAAAATTCTTTATTCTTAAACATCAATACTGGGAATTATTTTTTACTATTATTTCACTATAAAATAAAGCTTGTGGACCCCAAAATAACTATAATGTCTAATATTATGTACAAACGAAAAAATGTTCTTTCTTTATAAGAAGTGCGTGGTTCCTTCTGTTTGTGTTTATTTAGATCATTTCATGGGTTTCACTACAATTTCTAGGCTTTTTGTCTTAAATTACCCTTTAAACTTCCCATTTAAAGAGCACAGTAGTCTCCAGAGTGAAGTGTCTTAGATCCAATCATTGCATAAATAAGAAGCGAGTAGAACAGTTCCAATATGTGAAATAGTCTCCTTCATAAACAGAGTCCACTATTGAAGTTTTGTTACTAACATTAACTTGTTATTGACCTTTCCAACTAAGAGGTGTGAGTAGATTAGTCTGCGCATAAGGAGAAATTACAGAACACAAGTGAAATCTTCCTTTCAGAAGGAAGATAACAAAGTCAAAATAGAAAGGAACTGCTTCCTGTTGTACGTGTGATGACACCACTGGTATCCCACGAAAAGATATTTGGCAGTTATTCTATACTGGCAAGAGCTACTAAAATTCATTTCATGCATGGCATCAAATATTTTGGATCCAGCGTGTTTGATCTTTCTTTGTACCGTTCAGTCTTTGTTCACAAGGTGACTTTTTACAAGTTTGTGATTTAATACTTAGCCATTGTTCAAATCAGTATCTTTGACTTCCATATCATAGAACAGAAATTTTAAAATCTTTTGAAATTCATGTTTCTGGCTTTTGTACATGGTAACCAGCCATTTGTGAAACTTGACAGTTATAATTGTATTATTTAGAACAAATGTTCTGCAACCACCTTTAGAAGATATTACACACTGGCAGTATTTTTACAATGTCTTCTTTAGGATGTGTGAACGTATTTGTCAGGTTCAGATGAATTATGTAACAATGAAACCTCAAAGCTGTTATGAAGTATAGTTTATGATTACTTTTGTAAAAGAAAATGGAAAAGCACTTGAAATATAATTTTACTGTTTCATATGTATTTTGAAAAAGAAATAAAGTGATTATAAATTATTTTTGTCTGTCTTTGAGGAAAATACCTTTACCAGATTTAATTTTGACACTTCCGTGTTGTTAAGATTTTCTTTAATTGACATTGCTTTTGGCACTCCTTAGTGCAAGTCATTCATTTAACAACAGTGACTTGAAGACAGATTACTGGTCAGAGGCCTCTCATTTAATATGCACAAGTTCTGCCCACTGTGAGGTCCTGGCTGACATGCCACAACAAAGACAAGTTAACAAGGGAAAAGCTTAGCCAATTCATATAATTAAAGTTAAGTGGAGGCTGGGGTTGTAGCTCACCGGAAGAGCACATGCTTAGTTAGCATGTGTAAGGTTCTGGGTTGGATTCCCCAGCACTACCCACCCCCCAAAAAAAAGTGACGTGGAGCCTTTAGATAGAAAAACCCAGAGACCCAGAAGCTGAATGTTTCTATGCTTGAATTTGATGAAGAATGTACAGCTGTGTAGAACTGTGACTGAACATGAAGGCTCTG